ACTTCCTACATCCGGCCTCTTTGTGAAATACTAGTCCAGTAAAAAAGAAAACCACTAATTTAACTGTAAGCATTCTAGGCTAGTTAAATTTTTTCACAGCAGCTACGAAAACGCAGCACATATAGCACTCTTTTTTAGAAGGACGACAAAAGCTCGAATAAGTACCAAGATGACAAGCAACCTGTCTAATAGGGATGTGGCCTTGGACTCAACAATAATGGAAAGATAGCCAGCTAAACTACTGATGCGAAAACTCGCTTCAATGAATCGATCACAGCATTAAAGCAAATATAAGGGGCCAAAGTCACTATCAAACCGTCAAAATCTCGAAGGAACGATTTGACTTCAGTGCCGAAAATGCAGTACCGCAATTTAAATCCACACAATCTACTGAAAATTCGAAGCGTATTGGGTACTACAAAGCAATTCATGACAATGTTTCGAAACTGAACGACAGGTTCTGTACAATTTCTAAGAACAGAAAATTTTACAGGAACAGCAAAACAAAAAAGGATGTCAAAGTTTACGTGGCCAATCCACCGAATCTGGTCATGAGCCATGAAAGAGGACATTATTTGCGGTCGGTGACGTCAGTTCTGTAAAACTCGTGAAATTAAAAAAAGACATGTTCAGAATGACAGAAAATTACAACTCACGAATAAGTTTACGGATGCGGTTCTCAGCGTCGGCAATTTGCGCAATCTGTTCCTTGAGTTCATTGGACTGCTCCTCCGACCAGTTCGTATTCAACGTTTTGCAACACTTCGATATTTTATCATCGCAGTAAAGAGATACTGCTTCGAGGCGATCCTTCATGTTGCTGAAAAATTATCAACTTATGCGCCCACGAGGTTCATCCATTTTACGGTGCGAGGTTTCTTACAACAAACTGCGGCATTTTTTCCACACACACACACACTTACACATAAGTTGCTTGCGTATTCAGTATAGTGGTGAGTGACGCTCTCTTTCAACTTCATATAAACGTAGAGAGTTCGGAAACACCAGAATAGTAAGCTCGGTTTCCAGTTTCTGTCTCATAGTAATTATATTTCCCCTAAGGAAAATAAGACCCGGAACCTAGTGGCACTGCTATTCACATAAAAATAAGTCCTCTCTCCCTCGCCTGTCCTCTATCACTTCTTTCCACTCGTCTTCTCTCTAATCTAGTCTTATGCAATTTAACACAAGTTTATCACTCACTTGGAAGGCAAGAGGCTACACTGATGACTGCCATTTCTACCCACACACAGTGCGTTTGATTCAATTTACAGCTAAGGGATGAAACACAAACTGCATCCAAATGGTCTTCTTGCACATGTTTACTAAAACTGGTCCCTTATTTCCTCGTCTATTATTTCAGTTTGGTGGTTCGAATGCATGAAAACTCAGTTCATCAACGATCTGTTTTCTAGTAAACTGATAATGGGACACAGCAAAAAATTAAAGCAGGATTTAACTTGCTATGTGAAACAAGCTCTCGGACGAGAACGTCATCAACAGCTTTTTTTAAGGTACGGCTGCTGCACAGTGCTACGAATTGTAACACTCCGGTCACTTCTGGACGCCTTCCTCTTTTACTAAGAATCAAATGTGAATGGGACTTCGATTTTAACAAAAAAACATGATACCCCTTCCATACGCCCATTAATTCAGACTTTCTTGCAACAGAAATGAAAGAAAATAATGAAATTCTAACAGCTGCACCGGGTTTCAAAGAAAGAGAGAATAGCGGGAAGTGAATGCTGCAGTGGATGGCATGGTAAGGCAAATGGATGACCCATGTCAAAGCGTAAAAAGTTAAAATTGTAAAGTGCTCTGCCTAGAGTTTATCACAAAAAAAACAAACCTCCTGTTCATGTCATTTGTGATCACAATTACCGCACTGGAAAGATCGGACTTGAAATTCCTTGCCTGTGCGACGTCCTTACCAGCAAGATTGCACGAAACTAGTACACAGCTGGTACTTATAATAAGCTGTAGATACCTGTCACTCTGTTCCTCCAGCCGCACTTGATCCAGCTATTATTTTCACTAATTTATAATCAAAAGAGGAAGAGAGTCCGAAAATCAACCGCAGCACAAATGCAAACTAGTGCAATCTGCAGGCAAGTCATTCTTAACTTATATTAAGACAACATTAACTTGAGAAAAGTTGACAGTTTTACTTATC